GAACTAAGCTTAGTGCATTGAGGATCGTCAATGCGAATTCTCTATATAAGCAAGATTTCCCGCTTAAGTTCTTCAATCTGTTTCTCGAAATATGAGCGTTGTTGCTTGCTCGAGTTAGGTAAGCCAATTCGAACAGTTTCTAATTTAAAACCAAGAGAATTGAAGTCAGAATTCCAGCTTTCCTCAATCACTTTTTGACAGTCCTAAACCTTCACCCAGTGAGCCTCAAATCGAAACGGCTTTTTCTGTTGAAGAACATGTGTGCTAGGTTTACGTCCATGTATCTGAATATTAAGAAGTGCATGATCTGAGATAAACATCGGAATATGGGTCACTAAGCTCCATGGAAACAGTTGAAAAAGGCCCGCATTGCAAGTTGATCTATCTAGACGTGCATACCCGTTGTGTTCGAGGATATTGGAGAAGCCGTTGCCAAGTAAACTTATAGACCTCAAATCCCATATCCAGAAGCTGAAGATAATCCATCGTACTACGAAGAAGGTTGATTTGCCAATTTGGCCGTGGTCGGTAGCCTTGGAACTCATCTTGAGTTAAAATTCATTAAAATCGCCAAAGAAGAGCCAAGGCTTTTGATTCACATGAAACAGCGAGCGATATCCACATGCCTCCCGTCGTAATGAAGCATCCGGCTGTCCATAGATACTAGTAGCTCGCACTTTATGACCCTTCAATTCAATGTCGACATCAATGTATCTGTCAGAATAAGATCGCAAATCAACATTGATTTCCTTGCTCCATAACATTGCCAAACCTCCCGAGTTCCCATTCGACTCAACACATATCCCAAACATATTCAACTTAGTCTTCAATCTCTGAATTTGATTTCGATCACTTTTAGTCTCACACAGAATGAGAAGTTGGGGAGACTTTTGCCGGACAATTTTGCCCAGTTCATCGAATTTCTGGGAACTCCCCAATCCCCGGCAATTCCAGCTTAAGATACTCATTGAGCTGGGCGAGATTGGGGTGTTAACCCAATTTCCTCCACTCACCCATCCTTTGAGACATAAATTGAAGAAGAATCCAATGAGCCATAACCAGACTCCATGCGGGGTTTTTTCTCGATCAACTCAACATCAACCATTTGTAAATCCTGCCCATCGAACTCATCATCAAACCATTTACGCTTTTCTAGGTGAGCAACTAGAGAATCAATTGAAGCATTTTGAAGGATTCGTGTACGAGCCATATTGAAACGTCTAGCTGCCTTTCTAGCTGGAGTATCCAGTGTCATTGGAATGGTGACTAGATAGGGACTAAGAAGTGCTGATGTTACAGTTGAAGTGGCACTTTGGTCAACATTGGAGGGTAAAGGAAGAGTAGAAGTAGGGTCAGAAACAATGTTAAAGGGTAGTGGAGGAGATGATACAAGATACAGGGATACAAAAATATTGGCAGAATTGTTTAGTTCATTATTAGGGTTTACAGGGGAAGTCGAAAGCAGGAGAGAACATTCATCAACAGTTTCTAAAGGAGGAAACGATGGAGAGGCAGTAGTTAATTGCGGAAGAGAGAATAGATCAGCCTTTGAAGGGGCAGTTACATCTAGGGTTTGGTCAAGGTTTAATGGTAGTTTTGTGACGCCTGGATTTAAGGTCTGGGAGTAAAAAAGAGAATCATTACTTGACTCTATGAGAATTACTTTGGAAGAAGTGGAAGTCTGATCCTTGCATTTCGGATTAGAGACATTAGTGTTGTTACTTGATGGGAGAGGGGTTGAGATGATTGCGGTGGTTAATGGGGAAGTGGAGGTGTGAACTTGGGTTGATACAGAAGGAGTGTGGATAGGAGAGATATGAGAAGGATTTCTGTCTGGGAGAGAAATTGAGGTGGTTATAACTGTTGAAGTGGGAACTGAGGGCTAAACGTGAGGAGATGGAGAAGAGATAATGGGTGTGGTGGTTATGTAATGTGCTTGCCGTTCATGGTAGGGAACAACTTCTTCGTCGGAATCATCCAGAACGTGAAACGGATCTGGCTCTTGCACCGGCCACCGGGAAATAAAAGGGTTCCAATAACCCTTTGCTTTCAGCCAAGGACCATATTCAGATGGGGAAGAAGAACTACTTGATGTCATTGGTTTAGTTGGACAACTATTTTCTATATAGCTGATAATCCCGCAATGATAACACCATTCTGCTAGACGTTCATACCGCAATACAATGATGATTTCCTTTCCTTCATGCTCAAACTTCAGAAGCCTAGTCAGAGGCTTCTTGATGTCAATGTTCACTTTGATACGTAGAAATCTACCAATGCAGTTTCGAGCAGTATCTTTGAAAACATCCATGATCTGACCAATCAGATTTCCAGCATAAGAAGCAAATTCTTCATTCATCAAATCTAATGAACTGCATTTAAAATCTGCATTTAGATCATCATGAGGCTTTAGAACCAGCAGATGCTTGCGACCTAACAACTATGGCTCTCCATGAAGAACCCTATCTCGATCAATTGTCATTAAATTTAAAATGAACCATGTTTTTCCCCACTCTAACTGTGAAGCCATGCCGGATCGACCAAATATTTCGGCAATGAGTACCGATTGCATCGTGAGACACCACCGTTGGACAATGAAACTTTTCTGTAATGGTAAAGAAAGGATCGATGCGGGTGAAACTTAACGAACTTGTTGTCTGGTGGATTCATTTTCCCGAATTGTCAGCCTCCTAATAATTTGTTCCAATTCCTCCTCAGAAGCCATAGATACAACAAACGGAGAAATGATATTTAACCTCTAATGACAAAGGATATGAAAGACCAAGAATACAACTTATGCTTCACAGATAAGTTTTGTACAAACAAGATGAAAAACAAATGTTAAAAAGAAATAAAAAACAGGAAATAACAATAGTTTGTTAGTAACAGAAACAATCTAAACAAGGATAGAAGAAATAAAACATTGTAGAAACATGGTGGAGTGGTTAGAATGGAGATGTTTGTAATATATTAGACAATCTACGGAATAAATCCATGAAAGACTTGGAAGAGAAACAAAACTCTTAGAGAGAATTTCTCAAGGAGAAGGATTCTAGGACTCAAAACAAATCACTTGTATAACTTTCCTTCACCATAAGTTAATTTTTATTTTTGTTATTTTTTTTTTGAGAAAAAAGCCATAAGTTAATTTGAATGGCCGATACACTATTTCTCAAAAGTTTTTTCTTTTCCCCAAAAAAAGAGAAAGAATATATAATATATGATCTCCTCTAAACTTATGATTTTGTACGCGTATTATATAATGTATTTTTTTTTCATATTTGTAGGGTGTTCACCGTCGATAACAGTAACTAATCCCTCTCGCTGAATTGTAGGCATCTCAATGGGTGGGACAGTTCGCCAAAGTATTTAAGATTGCTCCATGCCCATGGCAAGATTCGAACTCTCGACCTACGATTGAGGGCGGAGGAGTCCCTTCTACTTCACACAACTTTGGTTTAATGTATTGTTTTATGAAGTGAGAAAATGATACAAAAAGGTGGTATCAATAGTCATTGGATTGGGTGATGAGGGAAGGAAAAAAAACTCAAAAGGAGAAAGTGGTGAGTGGGGCCGAGAGATGAGAAGCTATATAGCTGTAGGAAGGAGAATCAAATCGTGCAGCACTATTACAGAGATAAAAAGGACAGAGAAGACGAAAAGGAAGAAAAGAAAAGAAAAAGAAAAGAAAGGGGGGCTGTCTGTGAATTTGGCTGCATCTCTAATGTCCTTTTTCCCTTACATTTCTGCTCCATTTCTGGTTTTTTGATGTGAAAAGAAAGAAAAAACTAGCTACACAAAGAAAAGCTTCTTCCTATCACTTCACAGTTCACTCTCTCCTGTTTTGTCTTGACTCCTTTTGTTTGCTCTTTCTTTTTAGCCTTTCTTAACCAACCAGGTTTTGATTGACTTGCTTCCTTATAATCTCTTGCTTTTCTGGATTCCATCGACAATTATTTAGGGCCCTTAACCACATGCACCATGCCCAATTTTGTTTAGAGATTTACGTTTCCGCAACACTTCAATATATAGAAACCTTTCAAATTTCAATAAGAGCAATTTTCAATAAGATCTTCGCACGTTTTTTGATTAAAATCTCATTACAATTTTCACTCACATTTTTGTTACGGTTTTGATCTTATTCTTAAACATTTGTGCGTAATCAAGGATTGTAGAACCATAATATATATTTTTTTGGATACAATAAAAGAAGTATACGTTTAAATTAAAATAAATTCATATACATGTAAATTGAGCATGAAATCATCTATTATATTGTGTGTCGACCATAGATTGACTGCAGCTGGTATAGATTATGTAATCTTCGCTAAGAAATGAAAGTAATATGCTATCGAATTAGCCACTTGAAAGCATGTAATAAGTCGCTATAAAAATGATTTTGTGTTTGAACAATCTATTTGTGAGGAGGTTGTGTTGTGTAATTTGGTGGATGTTAATCCTTTGTCCATACTCCCCAAAAGGGACCAAAACTGAAAAACTTTTTATCATCTTTTCAAATCTATTATTATTGAAATAATTTTGCGTGAACAGAGAAGAGCTTTCACCCTCGTATGTCGAGACAGATCCCTCCAAACACAAAATCATCATTCATCAGTAAAGCAGTTCAGTACAAAACCTCTCTCTGGTCACCTTCTTTTCTATAGAATCAAATCACTCCTCAAAACAACTCCAACGGACCTTAAACAGACCTCTCTCAAAACTTTCTTCACTTTCTTCTTCTTCTAACTTTTTTCTTTTTTCCCCTTCTTTTCTTTAGTGAAAAAGCTTTCTCCATTATAACATCTACCCTTTTTTTAAAAGACAAGCAATAAAAGGCTAGGGAACCCTCATTTTTATATCATAGTATGAAATCGAAACTAGTCTTCTTCAATGTGCACCACCACTTCCAACGTCCGAGTTTGACTTTTCCTATGCTGTTCCTCGTTACCGCACTTCTGCTGTTTCGGCCTAACGTTTGCTTTGCCGGTTTACTTTCCGAGCCGGCTCAGCCGTTGAAGCCGGGAGATTACCCCAACACCGTCCCGGCATTCCCCGTCCAAACACAAGCCCAGACATGCCGGCTAGACCTCTCCGACGAGCTCTTCGGCGGCGTCAGCGCGGCTTGCGGTGGCCGTGACCTTGACCGGAGCCGATGCTGCCCGGTTTTGGCTGCATGGCTCTTCGCGGCTCACGCTCGCTCGGCTTTGCAAGTCACCTCGGCGGCTCCACCGGCCAGCTCCGATATGCCTATGATGCCGGATGACTCCCAAAAGTGTGTCAACTCTCTCCAGACCTCGCTGGTAAACCGGAACATCCATATCCCTCAGCCTAATTCCTCCTGCGACGCCGTTTTGTGCTTCTGCGGCATCCGCCTCCATCAGATCACGTCGCTGAGCTGTCCGGCGGCTTTTAATCTCACCGGCTACCGGAATGCCACGCCGATGGCCGCCGTCAAGAATTTGGAGAAGAATTGCCGGAACTCTTCTTACGCTGGGTGTACTAAGTGCCTTGGTGCTCTCCAGAAGGTTAGTCTCGTAAATTTAATTATAATTTGTTATATTTGGTCGGGATGATTGCCGATTTTTGGTTAAGGATTCCGTTTCAAAAATTCTTCTCTATACGTAGTTAAACGGCGACAGTAAGAATGGAACGCACAAACAGGTCAACGGCGACGAAGACGGCCGGGCGACCAAAATGTTGAGCCGGGATTGCCAGCTGATGGGGCTGACGTGGCTGCTAGCGAGGAACAAAACGGCGTACATTCCCACCGTCTCAGCTGTGCTCCGGGCGATAATGTACAGTGCACACCCGCCGCACGATGCAAAATGCAGCCCGGATCAAGAAAACATGCCGCTGGCCGTGGATTCGCTGCAGATGGAGAAAACGGAGTCGTCGTCGGCGGCGGCCCGGCCGTCGGCGAGGATTAGTTTATTATTAACTTCGACCCGGTCAACAATGATCAACTACTTTTTGTTCCCGGTTTTACCACTAATCATCATCGTCATGGGATCTTCTTTATCCGTGTGAATCAGTCTTGGAAAACTGACGGGGAGGAGTTGGTAGGTTGCTTTTGATTCTTTTTGGGTGAAATGAGTGGGGGTGCATGTGATGGGGAGTTGTCGGAGTGGGTTCACGTGAAGCTAGTTGACAAAAAACCTTTGTGAGAACTGGGGGGACATTTTTGTCTTTTGGTATAGCTGTAAATTTTTTGGACGTCAGCGGCCACAGCTTAGTCGTAGTAGTATTACTTTCTTTTTTTACTGTCCACTGATCTTTAATATTAGTGTAGGAAATTGGTAGGACGTTATTTTAACTTCTAACGATTTCCTTAAAAGAAAAATTAGGAAAATTAATCAATACATAGTATAGTTTAGAAGGAATATTCTCGTTATTTAATATCCCATCTTTCTCTAAAATTCACAATTGGTAATTAAGAAGATAGGGTTAATTATTGCGAATATGGATTAGGTTCTCAATCTCGAACTTAATGATGCTTTATCAACAATGTTAGTCAACCATTTGTTTTCATTTTATACATAAATATATACTCCTTCCGTCTCATAATTATTGTCCGGTTTTACTAAAATTAAATATTTTATTTTTGGTCAAATTTTACTATATTTTACTTTAAACAACTGTATATACCCCTACATAAGTAATTGTTTAACTACTAAGATTTTATAGATAATGTTTTTTTACTAAGGACGAATGTGTAACTTGATCTATAAAAAGTTAAATTGGACAATAATTTTGGGACAAAATTTTTTGGGCAAAGTGGACAATAATTATGGGAAGGAGGGAGTATATTAAAGCAAGAATCAAAATGAAAATTCATGTTAACCGGATTCGTAAATAATAACATTAGTTATGTACGCGTGATCTGAACTCGCGAAATCAATTCTTGGTACTAAAAATGGTACAGAACTAACAAAATCAGTCGTGGCTATTAGAAATGGTTTTTGTTCCATTCTGAAAAGAAAATTTCAAATCTTTTAGGATGGGAAGAGTCTCCTGAGTTGAATAAAGATAATATTATAATTAGTACTTAAAAATAATGTTTGTCACTCCATCTATTTCGAAAAAAAAAAAATACTCCCTCCGTTCCATAAAAATAGTACACATTGAATTTTGAATTTTGTACTCCCTCCGTCCCGTAATTATTGTCCAGTTTTACTAAAATGAAAGATTTTATTTTGGTCAAACTTAATTATATTTTACCTTAAATAACCGGATATACCCCTCATAAGTAATTGTTTAATCACTAAGATTTTATGGATAATATTTTTTACTAAGGGCAAATGTGTAACTTGATCCATAAAAAGTCAAATTGGACAATAATTTGGGGAAAAAATTTTTTGGGCAAAGTGGACAATAATTATGGGACGGAGGGAGTACTATTTTTAGTATAAATTTGAAAACTCAATGTAGACTATTTTTGTGGGACGGAGGTAGTACAAAACAATTTTATTGCAAATGTAAGATGTGCCTCTTACACCACCTACACCAAATGCCAGACAAATTACAAAAGAAAGTCGGAAATTTGAACCGTGTGGTTCACTTGGCCAAACAATGAAGTCGGTGGCCACTGAGCTAATCCGAGTAAGTTTTTTAATCTTATCTTATTCGATTTGAGCTAGATAGAATCTGACAATATGACAAAAATTTGGACTAAGATATCAAGTTTGGGAATTTTTTTTAAAAAATTCTCATATCGAAGTTATGAGACCGGTAAGTGCCTAGTAAAATGACACAGTTATTGAAAAGGTTGTTCACTCAATCATCGAAATACTCTGAAATGTAATTTTTAAATAAACATCGATTTAGAGGTAAAAAAAAGTTAATCAACTTTTTGGGTACTACTAATTACCCTCTCAGAACTCCAAGGAAGTAGACTTCCCCCAATGCTGAGTATGTTGGTCGTGCATGTGTAGTTTCAGTCTAGGAAGTTGCAATGATTTAATCTAATAAAAATTGCAACCTGTGCAGTATTACTTTAATATTACTTCCGTCTTATAAAAATAATCCACATTAAATTTTCAAATTTATACTAAAAATAATACAAAACTCAAAATTTAATATGGACTATTTTTATGAGACGGAGAGAATAGTTTACTTTAAGATTAGCCAGAATGCCAGATATTATTTGTTTTTGGCTTTAAGCGATTAACTAATTATTATTCATATATACTGTTAATTCACATATCACATGCACTATTCGTCACATGTTTTCGGGAGAGAATCTCGGCTGAATGTTTGTCGTCACATTTATTGTTTTACTAATTTGTTCTCTCTTGTACTCTTTCGGTATTTTGATTTGTCCTAAATTTAACTTAATACACATTTTTAATTGACAAACAAACCTTTAAAATATTTCTTAACAATAAGTATAACACAGCGTGTGAAAATATATTTTAAAGATTTCTTTTCCGATTAAATATATATACTAGATTAAACATAGGACAAATCAAATTAACTTATATTAAGGACCGGAAGAAGTACTTTATCCCAAAAATAATTGTCCAATTTAAATTTTCATTTTTAGTACATATTGAAGTAAAAGTTGAAATCTAAAGTGGACAATAATTTTAAGATATAGAGAGTAGTACTCTTTTTTTCAATACTTCTTAATTTTATCCCGAAATGATTAACTCATTTTTAATACACATCATACTAAAAGAAAAAAATTTAAATATGAAAATTATTTTGGCACTGATAGAGTAATACGAAAGAACTTGTGATACTTTTTAGTTCTGTGTGGATGATATCTTTGTTGGGGGATATTTACTTTTGTTGGAAAATATATAAAAAAAAATACTATTAAAAATGTGAAAAGGAAACAATGTCTTGTGTGAAAGAACAAAACAGCCCAACCTTGCGCTATGTCCTAATAATTTGTTCCTACTTGGATACGGCACTAGGCGCCAACCACAACAAAAATATACACACAACAATTAAAATTTAAAAAGATAATCATTTTGGGACAAAATAAAATCTACTTAAGAACTACAAAGTAGAAGCGTGTCATTACGAACTATACTTCGAACATAGCTAGGTGGCCAATATAGAAATGATGGAATCTTGAAAGTAGATTACCAGACTTCATATGATTACAGTATGCAATCTCAACTCTCAAGATACCAAGTATTTGAAGAAATGATCAAAATCTCTGAGAGAGAAGAGTTGGCTTAAGAATATTGTCGTAACTCTATCCACCCAAAAAAGAAAATGTCAAGTCTTCTAGTAGCTTAAATTAGAAATGTGGCACAAATTATCAAACAGGCCCAATACCTTGTAAGGAAGGACGCTCCAATCAACAACCACCAAGAGTCAACCATTGAGAAGCAGCCCAACAATAAATTATAATCCCAGGCCGACGAAATAGAAAACCTGAATCGCAGTACGAATCCTAAAAACGAAGCAAATCCTTTGATAGAGCCAAAATTGGGCTACCAAATAAATTCTACAATAATCAAGCCTATACTAAGGGCTCGTTTGATAACGCTAATTATTGTTTAAAATTATTTCATTAAGTATTTTTTAACTTTAATATGTTTAATAAAAAAACTAAACTTTTGAATAAATTAAGTGGTACAGAAATTGCAGTACAAAATATAAATAATAAAAGTTAGTTTATTGCTTATTGTTTAATTGCTGAATGAATTCATCATTTCTAATTCAGTATTAAGCATTCAGAATTAAACATTAATTTTTACCAAACACATAAGAACTGATGATGCCCACAAGAGTGACAGATTGTAACCTTGCACACAACTGTTACCTCCCTTTCTTTTTTTTTTTTAAAAAAAAAACTGTTTGTACCATGCGTGAATTAGTAAACCGTCCGACTCAATTACAAAAAGGATAATAATTTGTGAATTTTAACATAGAATGAATCATAATCGTCCATACTTATACTTTATCTTAAAGACTTTATGTATTTAAAAGTTATGAGATAATTAAAATTAAAATTCATCATTTCATGTAAATTTCTTGACAAATATTCCCTGTATTTATTACCACTCCTACGAAAAATGTTAAGAGAATTATCAACATACAAGGAACCAAAAAAAAAAAAAAAGAAAAAGAAAAAAGGAAATCTTAATTGTCAATCATATCATTAGTCTGTTGCACTATTTTGATATTTTTCAATTCAAACAGTTTTATGCTCTACTCATTTTCGAAAAATAATTCATTTTAGTTAACTGAATTAATATAAAAATATTAAATTATTTTCTTTTAGAACGGAGAAAGTATTAAACTTTTCCCTTCTTTTTCGTAACTTCTCTTCTTAACTTGATAACTGGCTCACTCGGAAGGAGGAAAATTTGGTTCCATGGTTGAGTTGTACGTACATGGAACTTGTACATGAAAGACCATATTGGGACAAACTAGATCGAATTTCTTTTCAGGGCAAAACATGTCCCAAAATACTGTATATTATTATTACTCCCTCCGTCCCACAAAAATAATTCACATTGAGTTTTGAGTTTTGTACTGTTTTTATTACAAATTTGAAAACTCAATTTGGACTATTTTTGTGGGACGGAAATAGTATTATTATTATTATTATTATTATTCACAAAATAAGAACTTTATCCCTACTCCCTAGTTTGAAAGATACCAAACCTAAGTAACATGCATCACAAAACGTTGCTTTTAGTTATCCTTAACAAAACCAATGATATTACTCTTATCAAAAGCTTTAAAATTTTAAATGTTGGCACATGGAAGGTGAGAGTTTCCAAAGTTTATTGTTAATTCAGTAACTGTAACTTGCTCGAAAGCCATTTGAGTCAAGACCACTACTTGGTCTTTCAACATCTTGGGTACATAATTACACCCTTTCGAGTTTCAGCAAGGAGCAAAACTCACAATTAGACCGGCCTTCTAGTCAACCTAGTAAGCTTCTCAAAAGTTTAGGGTTTTTTTTTTTAATTTATTTTTTAAATAATAATTGTGTAATTTTAGATATAATTCCAGAGATTAATTGAAAGAAATAGGAAGTTCGATCCATCCATTACTGGAGAACGTTTAAAGAACACGCAATGCATGAGATCACACGCATTATATCTTACGTCAGTAACCTCAAAGACACGACTTTGTTGGTGTGAAAGCCAAATGAAGACGATATATGTTTGACTAAATAGTACATATGTCAACCTCAAATACCACCACAGAGAACAATTATATCACAATTATTCAAAACTACATCCTCTATTATTATCATTACTTGTGATACCCCCATCCCATGGTGAAACTTGAAAATATATTGGCAAGTAACGTTACGTTATTTATTACTTATTCTGTTCCACAAAAAAAAAAAAAACCTACATTATAGAATTGTTTTATAACAACTTTTTTTTTAGAACACAAAAAAAAAAATATTTTTGATTTATTATCTTGGACTTTAGCAAGAACGATAGCTCGGAATAGTCGTACGGGTTCCGCCCAAGGGAGTAGTATTATTATTTAGGCTCAAATACCATGTCATGTGATATTAACGTATAGGCACTTTTCGTATTAGACTAGTAGTGTTATATATATAGAGAAACAAACAAATACCTTGCGATCATATCTCAAAGACCTTAATTTTGTACTAGTATTGTTATACTTGAGAAACAAAACATATCACATGTCTCAAAAGACATCAACATTTCTTTTGTGTGGTGAAACTCAATAGACACATTTCGTAATTGTATTATAGAAAAACAAATTAAATATTTATATAAACTATTCGAGTTTGATAAATATGCCAAATATATACATTGAGTCATAAACACTCATTTAAGTTTAACGCCTTATAAACAGTAACAATGAAAATGGCCTCCTGAATAGTGACATTGAATGAGCTAATTAATTTCCGGCTAAACCAAAAAATGATATTACAATGATTCAGTATGGTTCTTCAATCTTCACCAGCATTGCCATGTTCTATAGGATTGGCAAATATTTGTATGTCATTAAAGACATTTGACTGTATAAATACATTACCAATTTGCTTGTAGTCAAAGGAAGTTATTGTTAATGGATCTCTAATCCCTCTTATTTGTTGCCTTCAATAAATACATTACCAATCTGACTAACCGTCCTGAAGGACCTGAACCACCTGTTTGATCTTCATCAGCTTTAACCCTTTGCATATTAAGTAAACATGAGTCGAGGAAAAGTTGATCCATGAATAATATGAATCAAAGGAATTACATGTATAGGACATATATATAGTCATAGTTGGTCACCTCATAATTATTATCCCTCCATTTTTTCCTTCTGTCCTCTTATTAATTTGTTATTACAGCAACTTTAGATAATTTTAAAGGGACATGTACATATCAATTAAACCGGATAAGTCATTTTCAGAAGATAAATATTATATATCACCTCCAATGTCACCGATTATGGGGGTTTAAATGATGTCAATTCTCCTATGGATGACAACATGTACGCATTATTGCTTTAGTTTAGTTTGGCAATACATCTAAAATGTGTATCATTCAAAAAAATAAAATAAAAATCGTAGCCATTAAGCTTTCTTGGACATTTAGCATATTCGATAATATTGCTATCAAAGAGTAGGCATTAAGAGAAAATTGTATGGGAAATGGTCTCAAATTAATTCAGAAAATAATTGGAACTTGGAAGTTTATTTCGAATGTACGACCCAGCCAGGAAGCAATGAAGCCATTTATCATCCTCGTCGTGAACATCCTTCATTTATTCATCCTCCTCTAGTCCAAGTAATTAACAAATCAAGAACACGACCAATTTGGTGTGATTATTGAATAGCTTCAAAACATGCACGCTTACATTTATGCTTGTAATTGATTAATTAGTGTGATAGAATAAAATCGTAACGAGTGGCTGATCGTTCAGTTCTTTACTCAATGTCATTACACTTTCTATAATTGGTGAGATATTGAGATACGAACTCGCAAGAGAGAAAACATGAGCGGACATAGACTAACTGGAACACGGTAGCTAGGTGCCCGAGTCCATGTGAGCCTCTATCTAAGTACCTTCTCAGTTGTTTTCAATCGATAAAATTTTCTCAGTAAGTATTTTTGCACGTATCTATTTCCAGACATCTGATCATTATTATATTTTTTATAACGAGTTAATTTATTACAAATAAAAACAGTTTCATATTTTTTATGAAAGTAAATTATAGTACATGAATGTTTTAGAATCTCATCATGAATTTTAACTAATTGAAAGAAGAAGAATGTACCGCATTTTAAGATTTCACAGTGCTTTGTTTTTTTCCCCAATAAAACTTGGTCAACAAAAAAATGAAAGCCATAAAACTTGTGCATCACGACAACATTTCAGCAACTCAGTAATAAATTAAGTAAAATCTCAATTAGACCTTGACGGCTAAAATGATTAAAGGTTAGAGATAATGTTAGAAGTTCAACCGGTTCGGACAAACTGTTAGAGGTAGTGCCACCACGAATGTTATAATAGGGTTTTCCCCTAATAACCCACACGGGATAAAAAAAAGAGATAGGCAGGTCAAGAGTTGGTTACGTCCCTGATCATAAATGTTTAACATGCAATGCATGATATCACAAAAGTGTGTCCTTACTGGGACGAGTATAAGATTTTGGTGTGAAAGCCTCAAAACCAAATGAAATTTTGTGCTTCACTAAAAGTAATCCGATATGTAAAAACCCCGCAAACCACCAGATATAGAACTATCTAAAATATTCTCAAATACAAGATCCTTCGTTATTATTACTCACACTACCAACTGGTAACATCCTCCCACTCCCCCTCCCACACACACTTGTCTCTATCTCTTCTCCACAACACAATCACAAAAAAACACACAGTCACCTACTCACCCATATTACTCTCAAATCTCCTCTTCCCTTCATTTATAGTCTCCCCAACCACCTGCATTTCTCCCTAATCTTTTTTATGCTACTAAATGAATCCCTTCCTGCTCCCCCTCTTTTTTTTCTTTTTTTTTTTCAAACAGTTCACACATCCATTTCATCCATATTTAACAGCCACCGCAAGAAGCACAAGTGTCCATAGTTCTGCACCTTTTTCATTCATTGATCAATATTCCAAGCAGAAGGAGAAAAAAAATAAAAATTCTTTGGTATGGGGAGTCTTCATGAAAGCGACATCTCTCTTTCCCCGCCACAATTACTCAACCCCGAATTCAACCCTCTTAACATTCAAGAGTTTCGAACTCAAGCCCATCGAATGGTGGACTTCATAGCTGATTATTACCAAAATATCGAGAGTTACCCGGTTCTCAGTCAGGTCGAACCCGGATATCTCCGCAGCCGTCTACCCGAATCCGCCCCTTACCGCCCCGAGCCATTCGAAGACATTCTCAGGGACGTAAAATCAGACATCATACCCGGAATGACGCATTGGCTCAGCCCGAATTTCTTCGCCTTCTTTCCCGCCACCGTGAGCTCCGCCGCCTTCGTCGGAGAAATGCTGTGCACATGCTTTAACGCCGTGGGATTCAACTGGCTGGCTTCTCCCGCCGCCACTGAGCTAGAGATGGTCGTCATGGATTGGCTTGCAAAACTATTAAAGCTTCCAAAGTCGTTTATGTTCTCCGGCTCCGGCGGAGGTGTTATCCAGGGAACCACCAGCGAGGCCCTCCTCGTGGCCCTCATCGCGGCCCGTGATCGTGCCCTCACGGCCCTCGGGTCCCACAATATTAAGAAGCTGGTGGTTTACGGCTCAGACCAGACCCATTCGACGTACACTAAAGTCTGTAAGGTTGCCGGAATCTTCCCGTCCAACATTCGAGTTATTCCTACGACCTCCGACGACGACTTCGCCATGTCCCCTACGCTCCTCCGCAAAGTGATGGAGGCTGATGTGGCCTCAGGGCTGGTCCCACTTTTCATCTGTGCAACAGTCGGGACAACATCCACCACTGCCGTTGACCCAATTGGTCAACTGGCTGACGTCGCGGAAGGTACAGGAGCGTGGCTTCACGTGGACGCAGCCTACGGCGGCAGCGCGTGTATTTGTCCCGAGTTCAGGCACTTTTTGGACGGGATCGAGCGTGTGGACTCGCTGAGTTTGAGCCCACATAAGTGGTTACTCAGCTATTTGGACTGTTGCTGCTTATGGGTCAAACAACCCAACTTGTTAGTCAAGGCATTGAGTACGAATCCGGAGTACTTGAGGAATAAACGGAGCGAGCTGGACTCGGTGGTGGATTACAAGGATTGGCAAGTGGGCACGGGTCGTCGGTTCAAGGCGCTCCGACTATGGCTCGTCATGCGAAGCTACGGGGTCGCGAATCTTCAGATTCACATCCGTTCGGACATCCGGATGGCCAAGATGTTTGAAGGGTTTGTCAAATCCGACCCGTTGTTTGAAATGGTAGTGCCGAGAACCTTTTCACTTGTTTGTTTTAGGTTTAACCCGTATAAAGACTCCGACCCGGCTTACATCAACCTCCTGAACAAGAAGTTGCTGGACTTGGTCAACACGACGGGTCGGATCTACATGACTCACACCGTGGCCGGTGAAGTGTACATGCTTAGATTCGCTGTGGGGGCCACGCTCACAGGAGACCGCCACGTGTATGCCGCTTGGAAGCTGATAAAAGAGTCAGCGGAGGCTTTGCTGAAGCGGAGTTATTACATTGTTTCATGAAGAAAAAAAGAAAAAAGTTGTTCTTTTTTCATGGTTATTAGCAAGGTTAATTTGGTCACATGCGGCTTTGTCATACATAAATATGGGTCCACCATGCAAACGAAAAAATGTTTGTAAAGTATAAATATTTAATATTATGGTTTTCTTACAATTTCGTAATGAATAAAGTTGGAATTTATTTGAGCACATGTACATGTATATGTAGCCATGGGGGCTCCTGCTTAGGTACGGTTCCCAGTCAAAAAAGGATGCTGACGTGTCGATACTACCTTATTTCTTATCCCAATGCTAACTGCCTTTTGCCCGTTTCTTGGATGCGCCTCTGTTTGGTCGTCTTCTCCAATACCCACACCAAACCCTGGTTATCCATCTCTTTTCTCTCTTCCATGTTGCCGCTCAAATAATCTATTGGAAAAAGGTCGATGATCAGAAGATAATGCTGGTGGTTGCTCGATTGTTTATCGTCAGACACCTTTCATCTCAATTCAACTTCCTCTAATGGTTCTAATCTAAACCCAATTGTAGGAGAATAGGAGATGATCATGTCACGGCAGAGATGCTCTCATGGGGAGTTATGGGTATAGTTGGGGCATGGAGATTCTTGGTTATTCTGCTGGCGGTGGCGATGGAGTTACCGAGAAGTCGCACAACAACGTACCGCATCCGGAACTCATGTCCGTTCTGACTGAACAAGGTAAGCAGGATTCTGATTTGTTCAACAAAGTGGCAGGGCCGCGTTTGCCTTGTTCAATTTGTTGAATGGGATGCTACATAAGCTAAAGCATCCCGACGGTAGTCTTTCAATTGCCAATCAGAGTCTGTTTTCATTCGCTTTGCTTTGCTTTCACTCTTCCGCCGGTTTAGATCTTCTTTTGGCCATATTCAATCTGCGACAAGGTCATATTAATTTGTATGTTCGATTCCCTTACTTCTGATGTGATTTTGTGTGACCCCTATTTTTGTTCCGTGTTAGATGAGCTATAGTGCTTCATATGCATGTAAACTGTTTGATGTTTTGTTTCATAGACATTTTTCCCCCGGTTATAGTGCTTCATATGTATATAAACTGTTTGATGTTTGCTTCTATGAGTAAATGTACAATGTTTACTTAAATTTCCTTTCGAATTAAAAACAGAATGTAGTCCTTCACAATTCATATGCACTTAAAAGTTTAATTTTTTGCTTTTATGAGTGCGGTTATGGTATTCATTTCACTTTTCTTATGAATTCCATACAGATTTGGGCTTTTATGTTGTCATAAAATGGATCTACGTTTGAAGCTTTTTTTTTTGGAGTCTTGGGATTTATCTTTTGACATTAAATTGGTTCTTTGGTATGGGTTATGGGGTAGCTAAAGGTGATCACTGCTTATTAACATATTTTTGGAAATAAAGTTGACTTTAGGCTTAGAAAAGAGGTTTTTTGGCTGCTTAGTTTGATTTGGAAGGGGGGTTTTCTGTGAAGATTTTGTTTGCAACTCTGAAAACACTTGATCAAGGATGCTATCTCTTAACTTGGCTGCTGCCAAAGGGAAGACTCAAATGTGCAAATATCTGATTTGCAATTTGAATTTTGCAGTGGATGCTAGATGATTTAGGGGAGGGGAAACGCTCTTGTTCCAAGCTGTTTTGAGGTCAATTTCTAAAGCTGGGACACCGCTGCAGCTGTGGGGAAATTATGATGTGTTAAAATTACTTGTTGGATTTCAAGGCAGATGTAAGCAAATACATCATCCATTATCACGAAACTCTCGGGATTCTTTTTAACCTTTGCTTCCTTCGAAAGTTGGTTAAATGTTGGTTGATTCTTATTATGTATCAGTATTTCATGAACTAAATAAACCCGTACATTTATGTTTATTATTGCCATGTAAATTAAGTGTGCATCTTCCTTTTTTAAACTAAGTGTGTGTTTATTTTTGCTTTAAGTGTGTATATTTTTAAACTAAGTATGTATATTTATATATGTATTCAAGGGCCGGTTATGTTCTTTTTTGGCTCTATATTTTATCAGTATCATTCTTAAAATGAGAACGATTATTCTTATTGTCCAAGCAAAAATCTCAATCTCAATTCTCTTTGACCATCTCTTGTTTCCCCATATCCTCCTACTGGGTTACTAATCACCCCCAAGCTGCACATCGTGCAGCATCACCCCTAGTGTATGATAATGGCCATCTTTTCGCTCTAACACACAAGGAAATACTCTCCGTTCTGAAAAATTGTTATTTTTTGTTGCTCACAGTAATTTTGGACGGAAAACTCACGGTAATGTAAAATTTCAAAATGTATGTATGTTTTTGAGTTTTCACGTTCATGAAGCACAGGGTTTTTTCGTTATTTGTGAGAGAGAGAGAGAGAGAGAGAGAGAGAGAGAGAGAGAGAGAGAGAGAGAGAGAGAGAGAGAGAGAGAGAGAGAGAGAGAGAGAGAGTTGAAACCCCATTTTCTCATTCAATTTGAAGAATTTTGTTTTAATCAACATCAATCTCAAAACCCCAAAGTAATATGGTGCATGTTATGCTCGAACGCTAGCATTTTGAAACTATACAATTTTCTCATTTGAATAATAATATAAGACTGTATTGTTTGATAGTACCATTGAAAACCAACGTCCGATCGGGTGTTTGACTGTTGAGGCCGCAGGTGGTGGCAACAGTGGTGATATTATAATAATGTCATTCAAACTTTTTTTTTTGATCATTTTCAAACTCATAAATACTCACTCTGGTCTTAATTATAAAGACATAAATTCAAATTAATTTTTGTGCTTTTAGTTATGACCGAATGTAGTATACAAAAACATTATAAGATGCAAAACAAGAACAAAACCCCAAAGGAGAAGAAAAAAAAAAATCCCAAACGGGGACATTAATAGTTTGATGGATTATGGATAAAATACTAATGATTAGGTAAATTAGGACAAAAATAATGTCGCCCTTTTCGATTAAATGCAAGTCAACATGAACTGAACTTTCCATTAAATGCAAGTCAACATTTTCGTCCTTTAGCATGACAAAATATGAACTGAACTCTTGGATTGTGGATCAAAATCTCAAAGAAAGATGTTCTAATCCAATCCATAAACTACTACTCTTTTCGGCCTTATGTCATCCTTGGGTTGTGTCATTTGTGCAAAATGTGTTTGAAGTTTGGCGGCCGATGCTGAATCGGGCAACTTCAATTCAGACAAAGACGATATATATGATCTCACAGTTTTGGACTTAACTGTGAATCTCTTCGTGTGCAGCTGCGGCTAATATGGCTGTGGCTGTAAGCGACTAACGACCGGTTGCATTTATGACCCTCCCAACTGATTTTTTTATTTTTTTTTTGATTTATAGTACCACCATGAAAAGCATCTATGATAATCGTCCAAAGCGATTAGCAATATACTATCACGATTCTTTATTTCTAAGATTATCTTCATTTATTACCGATTGACTTTGAAGTTCAATATCATACAGTAATTGTTTACCCTGATAACACTTACTATTGTTGGATTTAGAAATGGATACCAAAATCATTTATTAGCACAATTTTAAAGAGAGATTTGCCCCGCGGATTTTAGGAAGTGTTGGAAGTTAACTACTCTGGTCTAACAGGAAACTGTTGGGGTGAAAGTGAAAGCATTCTAACTTTTGTCAGAGAAATCATGGGAAGAGGATTATGTTCTACATATACAAGACTTCTGGGTTCATCATTTGATTAAATACCCTGAGGTTAGTCGGTCGACCACTAAATACTGAAGAATTTTGCAACAGAAACTAACTAGTATACACGCATTGCTGCGGAAAAAGTGTTAAAAAAAAAGGGGAAACAGAATCTGGAAATTGCCAGTCGCAGTGTTATTTTACATCAGGAATATCTACTTTATATTGATGCATAATTTTTGTCAAAAATACAAAGGGGTATAGAAACTCTACAATCAGAACAGCAGCATAATTTGTGGGGAAAAGAAATAGGCCATACCAAAACATGGCGTAGAGAGGGAAATGGAGCAAACTTAAGCCCACCACGGAGCATCACCAGTTCGGAAATCTGTTTCTACCCATGGAACAAATACTACCTTCCCATCATCAATATCAGCATGAGCCAAGGCCAGTGACTGGAAGAACATTCAAATTCAAGTAAGTCATGGTTAGAAGTGCGCAACTGTGGGTCAAAAACGAGAAAAATAAAGTGGGAGGACTACCAACAGAATAAACTTATCTCCGAACAAAATAGGCCTACTTGTCGATCCTAAAAAGATGCTACCACTTTTACAAGTTTCGTTAAGTATCTTAGATGGACAATTAATATGAATTCCTTGCAGAATTTGTAAACGGTAATCAGTAAAGTAGAAAGCAATCCTTATTGCCAGAGCAAAATTATGAGACAGAGTAGCTCTTGTTCTTAGTTATGCTCTGGCAACAAGGTTCCCAAATTAGCATATCTATCAATGGGATAAAATGCATGCTTATATGCACTGAAGATGAGTTATATTGAAAATTTATATGTAATTTCTGATGAAAGTTTAGATTCACTCACCAGAGGAGCAGGCCCTCTAACAACTCTTCCTTGATTGTTGTATTGAGATCCATGGCATGGGCAGATGAACTTGTTCTCAGCAGCATTCCATGGCACCACACAACCAAGGTGGGTACAGACAGCATTTATCCCATAGGTAGCCAATGTCCTATCATTCTCCACAACTAGGTAAGTAGGATCACCCTGTATCCACATAAAATACGATAATCTTCAATCATGATTCGCCAAAGTTGGGCTCTTAATATCCTTCTAAACTACCAAATCTATTTTCACAGAAATAGGTTTTACCATTTAGCTCAAAGATCATTGTACATAACGAGTGTCAGTTTCTCATTAGATGTCATTATACAGAGGCCGTTTTTCCTCACGTCCAATGCTATGAAGAAAATGTAATTAAAAATTTCGGATATGCATAAGAGCTTGCAGACTAACGCAAAGGCAGCAATGAAGTTGTGGATCCAGAAGACAATTTGTGCTGACAGTGGTAGAATCTTTATTATATAATAGACATATTTGTTGGAATATATATCTTGACGATCACCCAGCACAATTTCCGCAAATAAAATGCAACGCTGTTAAGTAAGTACCTTCAATCCTTGTGTAAGGGTTCGGTCCCCAGGGCCATGGTTCTTGAGCCACACTTCTGCAAGTACATCATTTCCTAAAGCATCTTTTGCAACAGTACCACCACTACCACCACCTGACCTGTTCTCAATTTGGAAATGAAATCATTATTATGAAGCATTCAACTGCTTGAACGAATTATTCAAATACAAGACAGATTTCATTGCATATGTTTAATTCTTATGGCCTATGGGACTGAATCAGAACCCCATATACATTGGAAACACAATCATATGAAACTATTGCAACCAACATAGCTATAGACAACATTAACGGAACTAAAGTTTGACGAAGTTAAGGTCCATCACATTTCTTGACCAAATTTACAAGAATGAATTAGCATAAAGGTTTCAGAAGACAGATCAACTGCTGCTTGAACTAAAAGTTAAGTTAAAAATATAACAAATGTCTATATATGACAGGACCAAATTCATCAATTTAGACGACAATCAAGGTAACATTAATCACAAGACTCAGAGAATTTTCACAATTATTTAAATGATTTGCCCAATTTTAGTTTCCGCTACCGTCTTATGCATTGGCATTCTTGAAATTTATCACATGATTTGGACTATAATACTAAGAGTTTGAAAAGCAAAGAAATTTGGATGTGCAAATTCTGATAATGTAGAAAAAAAAAAGCAGGGAACTCTGTTTCTTTGGTCCAACCCGCAAAAAAGGTTCCATACGCAAAACCATAATATAATGCTGTTTATTCAATCAAAACCAATTCTATGAGAGCCAGGATGCAATTAATCAAAGAATCTAGTAGAAGCATAACAAACAAAATAAAAAAAGAAGAAACCTTACCCAGGTGGGGCGAAGAAGGTTGCATAAGGCACAACCATAATAGCAGTGGGAAGTGAAATAGCACCAAGAAGAAGCAAATTCATGAGCTGCCTCTTTCCCATATCAGGTACTCTGTCAGCAGGCACACTTGTAGCCATGCAAGTCAATTTCATCCTCTTATCCTTTCCCAATAACAGAGAGCTCCTCATCGGTTTCAAAAACAATGCTTGCGATGGAGAATACATTCCACTCTTACTAGAACATAACTACATAAACAAAGAAAAACCCACAAACCAAAAACACATGCTAATCAATAATCATGGTGAAATTAGGTAGTCCCAACTACAATTCTCATCAAAACTTGATTTTTTTTTCTTTTACAGAAACAACAAAACAAAATAATCCCTTTGATCAGTAAGTTGTTTTAAAATGGATAATGATGAGATTTACCTGAGAAGGAGTAACGGGTGAAAGAGTGGTGGAAGCCATTGCTGAGCTTGTTGGGCTTCGAGAAGTGTACGGTGGACTGTAGAAAGAGATTCTGGCTTGAGAGTATGATGGTTTTATGGCTTGGAGAAGAAATGTGATAAAAAAGAGATAAAGAATGGGCGCGTGACAGCCACAATTTTGGTCAGGACTCTGGCGATAAGGCTTTCGGGTTTGACAGCCACATATCTGGCATTGGATATTTCATATTTGAGCTCTTTTGTATCTGAGGAGAGTTAACCATTTTCTTTTTCCTCTTTTGAAGAAAACATTTTTGGTCATACTCATTCATCCAAGTTAGAACTAGTAAGTTTTCCCAATGAAAATAAACCGTACTTTGTTACCAGTGTTTATTTAAAAATTTCCTTGATTTTTGTGTCCAAAATAAAAATCTTTTGGCTTTGTTTGGTTGCATTGAATTGGGATATAATTCCAATTCTTGTGTTTGGTTACTAAAAATAAAAGTCTAAAAATTGTAATTATAATTCAAGATAGGGCTCAATTTTTTATTCAATTCTTTTATGGGAGCAAATAATTAGAATGCAAATTCAAGGCACTTAAAAAAAACATGCGGATCATAGCCGGGTCGTTTCCGAATTATAACCTAAACGAATCGTCCTATCAATTTTTGTCTTTTGGCCTTTTTTTTTATATAATTTTTATAATTTTATTTTTTTCAGCTTTTTTCTTTTTCTTTTTTTGCTTTCAGCGCTTCCTGGCATTTTTCTTTTCTTTTTTTTTTTCCTTTTTTTGGGGCTGTTTGTCTCATTATTATTATTTTTTTAATTATTATTATTATTATTTCATATATATCATTTTAATAATTATCAACGAAATCAATCTAAAATTAACTTTGTATCTTTTTTACAAAAAAAAAAAAAAATCAAAAGTATAGTTGTAACCAAAAAAAATTAATAACTAAATATTTTAGTTTTAGTTAATATTTTTATTATATTATGACATAGTAAACAACATAACATTTTTATTTTTAATAGAAATTGTTCCATATATACACCTATATTATAATACATATATATATATATATATTTTAACTATTCATGGCATCTTTTCACAAAAAAATATGTAAGTTGAGTTTTAAGTATCTATTATTTCATATATAATTATATACTAAAAATAAAAACATTTAAGCATATATTATATACTAATGTTAATTTATGTATAAATGAACCTCAATATTCTTAAACTGAATTTACAATGTTATATAATAAAAATCTTTTTAATTTTTGATATAAATCAAAACATCAAAAATTAAAAATTTTGAAAAATAATAAAAGAGAGGAAAACAAAGATGTTTTACGTGTTACTTGTTTGTATATTAAGTGAGAATTTTAAGTATCATATTAATAGTTCCAAATGAATGAATAGGCTTACTCAAATCTACACACAGATTGTTGAGCTAACCTAATAAACTAGTTATATTTTATTAGATGTGTTTATTTAATTTCCACAAGAGGTGAAATACCTAACCAAACATCTTTGAATAAAATACAGAGGTACAATTTTAATCAAGATTTAAATATAAGAAATAAAAAGCCTACAAAATCATGGCAACCACAATTTTGGAACCATATTTATTTGTAAAAATTTTAAAAAATAAATAAAAAAGCGCTTTTAGTAACTTTGCTGTAAATTGTACAACCAAAATTATCAATAAGTGACTATAATCACTGTAATATGGCCAAGTTTGTAGCCGGTTGTAATCATATTTATTTATTTATTTGTGGGGGAGAGCAAAGAGGATATTTTAAACAAAGCCTAAGTTATTTTTAATTGTTTTCATTCTAATGTGCAGTTTGTATTTTCGTACAAAATTGAAATAAAAGTGAAAATTCAAACTGGATAATAATTGTGGGACTGAGAAAGTATCATATTTCTTTCATTTCCAAAAAAATATCCATTGTGTTGAACTGAAAATAATAATACAAAGGTGTACTCAAAATAGGACTGAGAGACGATTATATGTAGAAAGAGAAAAATTGCTATTCAAGACTTCTGATCATGTCTTTCGCATTTATTTATCCCAAAACAAACTAAGAAAGAAAACAACAGCAAATACAATCGGAAAAAAGTGCAACGTAAATTGCTCCGATGAATGATTCATTCATTATAAAATAGAAGCTTAAACTGCAAGGCAGGCACCATCATTATTAAGAGGTTTGAAGATCCACTATATTTATCTTCCCAGGTGGGCAACCTTGGACTTGATGAGTTGAATAACAGAATCATTGAGATTGAAAGCCGTAGACAAGACATCATCAGGGATGAGAGGAATGGAGTCAAAAAGAGTTGGAGCCATCTTAGAGATGCCTGGATTCTGACTGTTGAAAGAGGCATAGAATTGAGCCCTTCCTTCTCCAACATTCAGCTGAAAATGAACCATTCCTGGAGGAATCACAAACAGCTCCCCGGCAGACACCACTTTCCAGTACAATATGTATTCCGTGGATACCCAACCCGCCAACAGTTTTCCCTCCACCACCAGTGATAATTCCGTCGCCCGAGGATGGGTGTGGGGCGGGTTTAATCCTCCGGGAAGAAACTCCACCCGATTCATCGACATTCCCAGTGTATTCAGTGCTGGAAATGCAAAGACATCGACTTGAGTTAGGTTCACATTTAGGGTATCGAATTCGTTTCCTCTTTTCGTCAGCCCTTCGAAGAAGAAATCTTTCGAAGATGCATCGGCGGGTTTTTTGCAAGGAAACCCATTAATTATTGGGGATTTGGATTCCAAATCCGCAATGCAGAAGTCCTGCAACGGAGTCGGATCAACACTTAGGGAAGGCCATGGCAAACAAACTGACACTATTGTCAGCACTAAGATCAGGGAAAGATTAATTTGGTAAGCCATTTTGTTTTGATGATTTTTTTTGGGAGCTTTTCTTTTTTTTTTTTGAAATTGCTTTTGCTTGCTTCAAACTTGAAACTTGTGTGCTTCAAATGAATAACCTCTGCACCCTTTTATAGACGATGAATTTTTACTTTTTTTTTTTTTTTTTTTGACTTGCATGCATGCATGGGCTTTTGTACTCTAAGTGTATCCACGTGACTCATTATAAATAATTCATGGATGACGTTTTCTATTTGAATAATTTGGTTACTTCAGAAGAAGACAGAGTAATCGTCCACTAAAAGTAGACAATATCCCACTTATTCTCTTAATTTCTCTCATTTGATGGGGATTGGTCATATATTGAGCTTAAAAAATCGTATTCGTCTAGCTAAATGAAAATTAATCATGGATGACGTTTTCTCTCTTTTTTTTTTAATTTATTTTTTTAACATGCTTATGTAGTGGAAGCCTTCAACGAATAAACCAAATTAATCAGTATAAGAATACATTTTTTTTTGTAAAAATCTGTTGATTCGCTTGTGAATATATACCGAAAGATAACCATGTCCAAATTAAAACGTTGATTTGCGACACCAGTATCGGAAATAATTAAGCTATAATGTCCAAGAACAATCCATTACCACCTTCCGTAATGGTTGCATTTTAATTGTTATTGGTAAAGCTATCCCTTTTCGAGAGGATGGGATGGAGATGCTAGAGATCATCAAGTATAATTGGGTAGTTTTCTTTTATATTAACCTCTGTCTAACTTTAGTCTATTCATTAAAGTTAGCCGCCCCCTCCTCTCCTCTCTCTCAAATTCAAAAAAAAAGTTCTCCCACGTCTTTCCACCATGACAGGATAGGGAAAATAATTTTTTCTTTAGTTTTATCGTATTTTTATTTCTTTTTCTGTTTTAATAAAGAGGACTAACCCCAAAAGTTATTTCGAATATAATCATATTTTAATTGAGGATAAAATCTAATCATTTTTAAATTTTGAAAAAAAAACGTAACACAAAAAGATAATTTGCCTATATCAACAAAAATGAAAACAAAACAAACGGAAAAATGTCCCTGTCTAATGACTTCATAATACAGGCACTAAGATAATCATTATCTCAATTCAAATTTGTTTTAATGATGAGGTTTGTAGAGAGTGATTATGGAAAAATTAAAACTTTCCACCCAAATTATTTTCATTTAACCCAATTAAAATCACTACATAAAAAGGGAACATATAATAATCGTAATCTCCTTGATGATGATTGACGGGAAAAAAAAACCCTAAGCCTTTTTTTAATTTATTTTTATTTTTTTGGTACAAAAAATCCTAATAAGTCATAAAGGTAATGGAAAATGATATGTATAGTGAAAAAGATAGTGAAAAAAAGATAGTAAGTGATGTGGAGTAATCTTGGCCTTTAGTTTTTTATCACTTTTTCGTTAAAATTTTATCTTTCCCTAAATATTACATGTTTATCCCTAATTAATAAGTACACATATTTAGTGAGGATGGTGTATTTGTCTTTTCATTAGTCACTATTTCATTCCACTATAATTTGTCACTTTCTCTATCATTGCTCAAATGTGATATCTTTATAGACAAAGAGCAAACTCATGAATAAAAGCAAAGTTACGAAGGGAAATAACTCATATTCACTTTCAAACTCTTTCTCTCAATCTCTTCGGTTAAAGTAATCTATATATACTATACTAAGGCAAAAACTAGAGAGAGAAATCTAAAGTTAAGGAGCACATGTCACATAGGATTTTTATCCTATGTGGCATTTTCTTAATTTTTTAGATATAAAAATCTATATACTTACTATACTAAGGCAAAAACCAGATAGAGAAATCTAAAGTTAAGGAGCACATGCCACATAAGATTTTATCCTATGTGGCATTTTCTTAATTTTCTAGATATAAAAATGCACAAAACAAAACAATAAAAACCAAAAAAAGAAAAATGCAACTGAAAAAATCCAAACCCTATATTGATTCGACCAAATCCCTGCAAATTCGATGGACGGATCTCTTCCTCCTAAAAAAAAATGTAACTGAAAAAGAATTTTATATTAATAATTTATTAAAATAATTAAAGAAGTTAGGCCAACCTGAAACTTCTATAATTTAGCTTCAAATATGGAATTGAGTTAAAATACTTAGGTGATGGGTTGATGTAGCGGGGCTAAAAAATCTAACTTTAATTCGAAAAAAAAAATGAGCAGGATAGATTTGACATTTGCAAAAGTGTTACAAAGATATTAATGAAGAAAAAAAATAGGTAAATGATATTCTTTAAGGGTAAAAAAATAGTCCCACCCTCACATTTTAAATAAAATATTTTTGACAACGGGTAAGTTAATTAAAGATAAATTATTAGATAGGTAATGAGAAATAACTAAATCGAACGAACAAATGAGGCTAAAAAATAAAAAATGAAGGAAAGTGAGAATGCATCATATTTAAAAAAGAAAATAATAAAATAAAAACACTGAAATCAAAAGTCACACCGAAACAAGGAATAAAGGTCATGATATCTAATTTTTTTAATTTTTCTTACTAAAAAATTGGATGGCTTCTACAACAAGTTAGGGTTGTTGTTTCTGTAGTAACCATTCTTTATCATAAACCTTTTAAAAAAAAAAAAAATTCCTTATCATAATTTCTTAATCACCCTAGCCGACCTTTCCACCCCAAACTACTAGTGTAGTCTACTAAGAAATATTGCAAGATATATAATTATTTAATTCAAAGTTCATTTTTTTTTAATTTCTTAACAACTTTTTTTGCGTTAAATAAATTACCAGTGTATTCGTTTGGTAAAGTGTTGTCGATGTTTGTGTTTTATATTTTTTAATAAATTCATTATATATTTTAAAAAAATAAAAAAATCTATACAAATATTAAAATTTTTTTGATTTGTTTGTGTAGTAATGTTTATGTATATGTGCTCCCCGTCCATCGGACGTGTCTAACACCTAGTAAGTTAATATGAGTATAACATAAATAAAAATGTCATCAATTAATAAAAATTATTTAAATTTTGAATGTAAACCATAAACGTAGAAATATTTGTCATTTATTTTTGTCATGGAACGATATTAAAAAAGGTACGTGTAGTTTAAAATTAATAACATCATCATCCCACATAAATTATTCCACATATAAAAGAATTCATCAATAATTGACATACCGCACAACATGTTGGCGTAATACTAATTTAATACAATGGATAATAAAATATAATTTAATTAACCTATTGAGATACACATTGTCGTATCCATTACCGATGTAACTATATTATAATAATACTAGATATTAAACCCGCACGATGTGCGGGGTTTATACATATACATCTATTAAAATTTATTTTTAAATTTTAAATGTGATTAACACAAATAAAGTAACTGGTTTGTAATAATAAATATATGATTAAAATTAAATTAGATTGTGATAAATAAAATTGTAATATATACTTTGAAATGACAACATTTTATAAATTGTATGCCAAAAATGTAATTAAATAATGGAATATGTATAAGGATTATATACAAATAAAAGTAAAAAAGACCACCAAAATAATAAATCAGATATTACATGTCATATAAATCAAAGCAATTTATGTCTATACGGTTAAAAACGCATGTTAATCAAGATTGCGCACAATTGGATAAAGAGACACCTTACATGTTAAATAAAACATGATCGGAGTGAGGTCGTCGCCGCAAAGATGTTTTGTAAAGTATATAAGGTGCTTCGCTTCAGTGTTTCACCCGTTGTCATTGTACATGTTAGAGTTAGACCGAAGTGGATATTTATAGTGAATGTCTGAATGAGATATCATAACCAGTAACTAAAGTAAAATTCATAACTATGGAATAAAGATGATAATGTCACGTTGATTAAGGGATAAGATTGGTGGAGAAATGACTTCCATTGCATTAATGTTGATTAGCCTTTTTCAATTAAATTTGATTAGTTTTTAATCACTAAAGAATTCTTACTTTCCCGCACGTTGAACTTAGGTTTTAAATAAATCAAGTAGTGATTTTAGGGATTATTTTGTAGAGGGATTTTTTTTATTCGAATGGCTGGGGTAAAAAATCCCGGTGAATTAATGTTGAAAATAATAAATGCCTTATCCCTTTGAACTTATAATTTAAATCAATCAATTAATGCTAATTGGGGATTATTTTTGGGAGGGATTATTCTTGGGAGGGAATAATTCCGGTGCATTAATGTTCATTAACCCCGTCCATTAAATTTAATTAATTTTTATTTTCCTATTTTAAACTATAGTTTTAAATGCCATTTGATAAAACTTTATTTACATAAAATTTGAAGGACTATTAGTATAATTGTTGTAAATATTTTTTGACTCAACCAATAGAAAAATGACACATAGGATTTTATCCTATGTGGCACCTTTAGAATTTTTTTTTGTTTTCTCTCTCTGGTTTCTCTCTTAGTATAATACTATAGATAATTGCCAAACCTGACGCAAATATGATGGTTTAATTGATTCCGTATTAGCACAAAAGTAAAATTGTTTCCAAAAATAAAATAATACTCCTTCCGGTTCTTATTATTAGGTATTTTGATTTCGTCCTAGTTTTAACTTAGGATGTCTTTTTAATTAGAAAAAAAACCTTAAAAATATGTTTTCATATTCATTTTGTTCTCCTAATTATTTTCACATTCCTTGTGTTTTCATAAGCTTTACATGCGTTGTCAATTCTACCTTATTCTTTTTCGATTAGTCAATATTACCCTAAGCTATCCAACCGTTAGTCGATTTGGTCCAATTTGCTCTTTTCCATTTAAATTAACGGAATTTTATTTGTTTTAATTACAAAAATATCCTAATAATTTTAAAAATTATAAAAATGACCCAAAAAATTTACAAAAACAACAAAACAGTCCTTTTCAGTTTTTGTTAAATTTTTTTATTTTTTAATTTCTTTTTAATATTTTCATAACTATAAAAATATACCCTATGATCTTTAAAAAAAACAATTTATTTTTAAACTCTAATGTCCAAATTTATAATTTGATATTTGTAAGTCATGTTTAATTTACATA